GGTGGCAAAGAGAGGCTTTTACAGTAGTAATGGTAAGAGGAGACTCAGAATAGGGTGGTTGTAGTAGAGGTGATGAGGTAGAGCCGAGAGAATTTGGTGATCAAAAATCAAGAGTTCAGTTTGAAATAAATTCCAGGTGTTTATTAGATATCCAGGTAGGGATATTGAATAGGACGCATACCTAATGCTAGAGTTCAGGGAAGGTCTGTGCTGAGGTATGAATTTTAGTGCAATAACCTCAAAAATATCTTTTAAAGCCACAAGACTAGATGGAATTACCTAGGAATTGGCATAAACAGAAAAAAATGAGGTCCAAGGATTAAGCCTTTTCTTTGGAAGCTACTAGATTAAAAACCAAGAAATCATAGTACAAGGATATTATTTAGAGCAATTCTACTTCTAAATATATATCCAAAATTGAAAACAGGGGCTCAAAACAAGTACATGTACATGAATGTTCATAGCAGCACTGTTCAAGAGCAAAAAATTAGAAACAGCCAAATATCCATCAATTAACACATTATGGTATGTACCTACAGAATATTATTCAATCATAAAAATGAAGTACTGATACATGCTGCAGCATGAATGAACCCCAAAAAAGTCATGCTAAGTGAAAGCCTGACACAAAAAGGCCACATATTGTATGATTCCATTTACATGAAATATCCAATAGGGTATTACATGAAATACCCACAGGAACAATAAGCAGATGGGTAGTTTGCCAGGACCTGGGGGAGGGAAGAACAAGTAACTGCTTTATGACTATGGAGTTTTACTTTGGGGTGATGAAAATAATTTGCAACTAAATAGGGGTGATGGTTGTAGTATATTATGAATATACTAAATGCCTTTGAATTATTCACTTTGAAAGGGTGAATTTTATGTTAAGCCCACAGGAACAATAAGCAGATGGGTAGTTTGCCAGGACCTGGGGGAGGGAAGAACAAGTAACTGCTTTATGATTATGGAGTTTTACTTTGGGGTGATGAAAATAATTTGCAACTAAATAGGGGTGATGGTTGTAGTATATTATGAATATACTAAATGCCTTTGAATTATTCACTTTGAAAGGGTGAATTTTATGTGAATTTCACTTGTTCTTGGAAAAAAACAAACAAATAAAGCCACAAAACGTAATTCAGAAATAAGACATATATGTCAGAGAAATAGCTGAATTGTAGTCACCCTAGACTTCAGGTTGCAAAAGGGAAGGGACTGTTTTCAACAAACAAATAAAGCCACAAATCGTTATTCAGAAATAAGGCATATATGTCAGAGAAATAGCTGAATTGTAGTCACCTTAGACTTCAGGTTGCAAAAGGGAAGGGACTGTTTTCAATTAAGTCTTGTAAACTGGTATGACTTTTAAAGCCACATATATATGCATAGCTTCAATTTAAAATTCAATTTAACACCTGCCACTTGATTTTTAAATGGAGAGAACAGTTCTTAAAGGAAACCTTCAAATCCTAAGTGCTCACATATACGTAATTTGAACAAATAAGAGCCATATCCTAGCCCTGACCAGTGTACTCGGAGTTTTGTCCTATACACCAACGGGTGGTGGGTTTGATTCCCAGTCAGGGCATGTATGAGAAGCAACGGATACAGATGGCTCTCTGTGGAACCACACAATTCTAATTCTGCTAAAACACTCCCATATCAAAAGATCAACATGTATGATCTCACTGGTACACAATTTTTTAAGGGAAAGAAATACAAATCACACTTCTAGTTAAACAATGATTTTATTGCTCGAGTACATAGATATTTTATGCAACCAGTGCAGAGGCTGTGGATGACTCGCTGAAAAGGAAAAAAGGGGGAAAGGAAAAGACTGGGTTAATACAAGTCCTCCACATTCATTCGTACAGTCTCCCAGCTAATGGAGTTATTTCCAAACAGCCTAAACAATCCCAAATGTATAAAGGGCACCAAACTGCTAAGTTCTTGAGTCAGTTTATTGTGGCTCAAGCATAATGAATTAAAGATGCTCACTCAGACATCCAAGGAAGAACTGGCCAACATAAAGTAAAGCCTTTCTGGTGGAAACTGCGAATGTTTGGAAATCAATCATCATAGTGAGCAACTGATGCAAAAATAAAGACAACATAAACACCTAGGATCAGTGGCACGAACTGAAACTTTATCAACTACCTAAAAGTGATTTAGCCCAGCTGATGTGGCTCAGAAACCAAGAGGTTGCCAGTTCAATCCCTGGTCAGGGCACATGCCGGCTCGATCCCAGTTGGGGGCCCTATAGGGAGGCAGCCAAGTGATGATGTTTCTCTCATCGATATGTCTATCTCTCTATCCCTTTCCCTTCCTCTCTCTCAGGGGTTCAAACTATGGCCCTTTGCTTGTCTTTGCAAATAAAGTTTCAATGGAAAACAGCCACATCCACTTGTTTATGTATCACCTATGGCTGTATTCCTGTTACAATGGCAGAGTTGAAAAAGCAGTTGAACAAATAGCCATGAGCTAAAACATTACTATTATCAGTCCTTTCAGTATATTTACAATCTGGCTAACTCTGGTTCTTGGAACAAATAAGACTGATACTTACTATTTCCAATTGGGGGGCAGGACTCGTTTGGTCTTATAATATCGAGCCAATCGGTGAATACGGCTCTCAATCAGAATGAGACGGAATTTAGCATCCTTATCCTAAAAATAAAAATGGATAGAATTCAAGAAAACCACTCAAAACATTTTAACATTAATAGAGAACATGCTTGTGTTCATGTGGTACATTAAGTCCTTAAGGGAATTTAAGGCTTCCTTCAACAAGACTAAGCAGGAATGATTTGTAAAACTCAACAAGCAGCTCAACATTTTCAACCAACTGAATATACTGTAACTAGGAGAGCCAAACCTCCTCCACCAGTCTCTTCTGGTAGAATTTTAATTCTAAACCACCTTATCTAATCCGAATCAGATGCATTACATTTTACCGAAATAAGTTAGCACAAGCAGTTCTATTCTCTTACCTTTCTGTTCCTCTCAAGATGCTTTCGAACTGCAACAGCTTTCTTAATTAAATGGTAGAGATCCTCAGGAAGGTCAGGAGCAAGCCCTTTAGACTTAAGAATTCTCAGGATCTTATTGCCCGTCACAAAACGTACTTGTGCAACGCCATGCGAGTCTCTCAGGATCACACCTATAAAAGGAACAATACTATATAATAAGAGTGTAATATGCTGATTAGACCAGACCTCCTTCTGGACCTTCCTGACAAAGCCCGGGCTGCGAGTGAAGCCCAGATCCCGGGTGCTGGTGCCAGCAGCCAGGGGAAGGAAGGCCTAATCTTGCACGATTTTCGTGCATCAGGCCTCTAGTGTATCATAAATCCCCACACCAAACACACATCCTGGAGCATGTGACATCCGGGTTCTGAGATCAAGTAGCTTTTCAAGCTTCCCATCTGTAAAATGGGACTGACTTTTATATTTATGCATCACAGATACCAATGTGAGAATTCACGCAAAGCTCACTCAGACATCCAAGGAAGGTTTACCCAACACTAAGGAAAACCCTTCTGGTGGAAACTGCGAATGTTGGAAGACCATCATCACAGTGAGCTTGCCAGATTAAAGGACATCAAAGCCATTAATAAGATTCCAACTATGTATGTAAATTTGCTCAATTAAAACCAGCTAATAATGTTTATTAAGAACATCAGCTATTCTTCTAAAAATGTAATGTACCTTATTTAAAAAAAAAAATCTCAAAATAGCACCGTCTGATGACTGGAACAGTCTGCTCTGTATTTCCTATTGTGTGATGCCTCCACTATACTACCAGCTCCAGGAGGGCAATTATTTTGCCCCCTTTCTGACTCCTGCATGTATTCCCGGGGTCCAGGACCACACAGCAGGCAAACATTTGCTGCATGAAGCCACTTGCAAAGCCACACACGGCTGAGGGCCGAGCCACATCTAACTGAGACGGTGTGACAAGCACTCGAGTAGCCAATAGCTGTGTGATTTGAGGCCAGTTACACAGCCACACTGTGCCTGTTTCCTCAGCTGTAAGATGGGGAAAGCTACTTGTGTTTACCTCAAAGCACTGCTGTCAGAAATCACAGGTCAGGGTATGTACTCTGCAGAGTAGCCCACCGTAAATACTCATTAAAATCTGGAGGACGTTTTAATAACTTTACCGTCTACAGAGAACTTCAACAAGTGAAGATTAGGTCTGGGTCATCAAGAGTAAAGCCAGGAAAAAGGACACAAGGTTTTCAGGCGCGTTTGGGACCCATTTACCACCACCAGCACCACTCCTTCCGGCAAGTTAACACGAGGGCAGGCGGAAGGGGCCACGCACCGATTTGTGAGGGAGTCAGGCCCTTCTTGGCCAGTTTGTAGATCTGCTTCTTCACGTCGTCAGACGTCAGTTTCAGCCACTGTTTGCAGAAAAGAAAGCGGCCTTAGGATGGTAAACCTGGGACGGTACCGAAGCAGGGCGGTCCCGCCACCCTGGAAGTCGCGCTCCAAGCGCACAGATGGCCCCCGCCCCGCGCCACTTCCCCGGAGCGACGAATGGTGCGCCCCTCCCCGGCCTCCCGGGTCCCTGCAAGCTACTCACGGTGGGGACGCTGCGGCGGTAGGGCAGAGCCGACTGGGACAGGCCCTTCCTGGGGAGAGAAGCAGTCTTGGGATGAAAGAGCGCTCTGTGCCACAGCGGCCAAGGCCATCATCCCCTCAACCCACTGCCTACACTCGCTCCTTCCCACCCCCATCCCCGCGGCCGAGCCCTGCACCCGCTGGGAAACCCGAGCTCACCCGGGAGCGTGCATGCGACCCATGATGGCGGCGGACTGGCAGTGGAAAAGAGAGCGTGAATTGGAAACGCTGCAGGAAGCCACCCAGCACGCAGGAAGTGACCTCACACGTCCCCGCTTCCTCGCACGCGGGAGGCGGAGCCACACTGCGTAACCCTCGGCGTCCGCCTAACAACTACATATCCCGAAATGCACTTCAACGCGGTAGTGGATTACTGATCAACAGGACTACATATCCCGGCATGCATCCGTCTTTGAGGCGGCTCGAGGCCGGAGCCAGAAATTAAGTCCTCTTGCAGCCGGGACTGCGCGTCTGAAGGTGCTGCCGGCGTCAAGAGCGTGCAGGTTCGAATCCCGACCTGGGAGTGGGGTCTGGAGACAGCTGCAGAGGTTGGTGGACTTACCCTCCATTAGGAAAGGCCTTTATCCGTGCCCCTGCCCCCAGCGAATTTGGGTCAGGTCAATTACGTACTTAATTACACGAGTTCCTTAAGTATTGCTTGGAATGACGTGCCTGCCCTCAGCCCCTGACATCCCAGTTATGTCTCCTAGTGGAAATACTGAGGGATGTCTATGATGCAACCAACCCCAGTGCTGGATTGTTTTGAGAATACCGCTCTGGTTAAAAAAGAAAAAAATCGGCACAACTTTTCTAATAAGGATATAGGAATGTTGACTAAAATATTTATTTATGGCATAGAAACTGTAACAGGTATTTCGAGATTTCTTTTTTTTAGTCATGTTTAAGCCCTCCACTAGTTTTTCACTGTATCTGGCCATGTCTGTATCAATAATATCAAAGCAAAATACAGTAGGTCCTCGGGTTACGTGGAGATCCGTTCCTATGTGCGACATAACGCGTTTTCTCTGTAAGTCAGAACCCACCTATGTAAGCACCTACGTCACTCACATGGAGCACATACACAGCAGTAATGAAGTGAAACAGTAAAAAAATTAAAAGAAAGATAACAATTCCTGATCTTTACTTGTGGCAAATAAATAATAAAAAACATAAAGCACATATGTACATACGTTGAAATGATGGAACTTTTTTTAATATAAATAAATGGGAGATGGCGACATAACCACGAAACGACGTACGTGGAGTCCGACGTAACCCGAGGACTGCCTGTATGTAGCTAAATGTGTTGAACTTTAATCAAATGGTGTTTACCTTATAGTCATATCCCTATTGCCTTTACATGTGGCATGCTTCTTTTGAGAACTTTCATAAATTGGAACCTGATTTTTAAATTTTATTTATTTAGTTATTTAATATATTTTATTGATTTTTTACAGAGAGGAAGGGAGAGATAGAGAGTTAGAAACATCGATGAGAGAGAAACATCCATCAGCTGCCTCCTGCACATCTCCCACTGGGGATGTGCCCGCAACCCAGGTACATGCCCTTGACCGGAATCGAACCTGGGACCTTTCAGTCCGCAGGCTGACGCTCTATCCACTGAGCCAAACCGGTTTTGGCGGAACCTGATTTTTTTAAAGACAAAAGGGTAAAATTACTTTCTAAAAAATTGTCACTGTTAGCACAATTACCTATTAAAGATACCATAATCAAATGGTTTTTAAAAATTGATCGTATAGCCTTTTAAAGTGAGTTAAAATTCACATACTATAAAATTTGCTATTTTAAAGTATACAATTCAGTGTCTTTTAGTACATTCATGAGTAATATTCCATTTTATGGATATATCACTTTATCTGTGCATTGGGTGATGGCAAGTTGGTTTATTTGTACTTTTTGGTCATTATGAATAATGCTGTGAACATGTGTGTACAAGTATTTGAATACCCGTTTTCAATTCTCTTCAGATTTTATATGTATCTACACATAGTATATAAATTGCTGGGTCATAGAATAACTATGTTTAACTTTTTGAGAACTGCCAAACTGTTTTCCACAGCAGCTGCACTGTTTTGCAATCCCACCAGGAATACATGAGGCCTCCAACACCCTCAAACTTATTAAAAAATATATTTTTATTGATTTCAGAGAGGAAGGGAGAGAGAGAGAACATCAATGATGAGAGAATCATTGATCGGCTGCCTCCTGCACACCCCCTACCGGGGATCGAGCCCACAACCCGGGCATGTGCCCTTGACCAGAATTGAACCTGGGACCGTTCAGTCCACAGGCCGACGCTCTATCCACTGAGCCAAACCAGCTAGGGCCACGCTCAAACTTTTTATTCTAGCTATCCCAGTGGGTGTGAATTAGTAACCCACTATAATTTGTATTTGTATTTCCCCAATGACTAATGAAGTTGAGCATCTTGTTTAAAAAATATATATATATTTTTACAGATTTCAGAGAGAAGTGAGAGGGAAAGAGATAGAAACATCAATGATGAGAATCACTGATCAGCTGCCTCCTGCACACCCCCTACTGGGGATCAAGCTCGCAACCCGGGCATGTGCCCTTGATCCCAGTCGAACCTGGCACCCTTCAGTCCACATGCTGATGCTCTATCCACTGAGCCAAACCAGCTAGCAGTGGTCAGCAAACTGCGGCTCGGCAAACCGCGGCTCGCGAGCCAGGTATTTTGTGGAAAAGCCACACTCAAGGGGCCAAAGAGCCGCATGTGGCTCGCGAGCCGCAGTTTGCCGACCATGGGGCTAGGGTGTGTTGAGCATCTTTTCATGTGATTGATCATTTTGGAGGAATGTGTATTCAGTCATTTGCCCATTTGTGTCATATCAGATATATGATTTGTGACTATTCTCTCCCATTCTGTGAGTTGTCTTTTCACTTTATTAATAGTGTCCTTTGATGCACAAAATATTAAAATTTTGATGCAGCCCAGTTTATCTGTTTTTCTTTTGTTGCTTCTGCCTTTTTTTTAGAGAGAGGGAGAGAAGAGAAACATTGATCAGTTGTGCCCTGACGAGGGATTGAACTTGCAACCTGGGCATGTGCCCCAACCAGGAATTGAACCCACCACCCCTTGGTGTGTAGATACCGCTCCAACCAAGCCACACCGGCCAAGGCCCTTGTGCTTTTTGTGTCATGCTTAAGAAACCCTTGTCTAACCCAGTGTTACAAAGATGCACACTTGTTTTCTCCCAAGTTTTAAAATTTTAGTTATGTTTAGGTCTTTGATCCATTTTGAACTAATTTTTGTATATGTTGTAAGAGTTCTACTTTATTCTTTAATCTTTTGCATGTGGTTATCTAATTGTCCTTTGTTGAAAAGATAATTCTTTCCCCATTGATCTTGTCAGTATTGTGAGTGTCTTTCCTGGGTCATGATTCAAATAAAAAAAAATATAACCAAATAGTTATTCTAGAAATGAAAAATACAACAACCAATATTTAAAACTCAATGGATGGGTTAAACAGTTGAATAGAATAGCTAATTGAAGAATCATACTAAATTATTCAGAACTCAAGTTACTGATCCATATATTTAAGAATTCTAAAATGGAAAAAAAAGATATCTACATCTAGGCACATCCTAGTTAATACATATCAAATAAGATTAGACCTAAGGTAGTAACTGTTGTAGGAATATGATGGAATCATTCATGGAATTCATTCTATTGTTGTCTAAGTTTGTATGTCTAAAATTTGTATGATAAAGTGTTTTCAAAGAGTAGAGATGAAATAGGTTTTCTTTTCTGACAGAAACTGAGTTTATCCCCCCCCTCCCCCCCCCCCCCCCCCCAAAAAAAAAACCACTGGCTCTAATTGTTTAAGTTATTGCTTTTCCTGGTTTCTGGGTATTAGAAGAATCTACATTTTCCTGTTGTGTAGATATGTCTATAACATGGCTGTTACTACACTATTTAATATTTAAATAAACTACCAAAGGCTAGGGACCATACCCACAGAAGCATTCAATTTGTGAAATGGTGATGGGGCTCTAGGCAAGTGGCAATCCAGACCTTCAAAGAACCACACTTAGAAATCAGACACACTATATTTGGACATCTTTAGGGGCAACTGAAAGGTCAGTTCTGAAATTCAGGATTATTTGAACCTAATAAACTCCTGGGTAAAATGCAAAGAACAGCAACAGTGAGCTCAAAGTTTGGAACCAAAAACAGTAATATGGTGACGAGGAAAGAAATGATAGCAGAGTTCTTTTATTCCAGAAATATTTTAATAAAATTATAGTACAGTTATGAAGTCACAACCAATCCACTGAATATATTCAAGGTATTAATAAAAAAATTATACATCTTTATTCACTACCTTAACATAATTAAAGTATTTGGTTCTTATAGATCAGACTAACTACCATATTCATTCATATTTGCACTGCTACTCAAACAGCATGTAAGTTAATCTATAAATTATAGTAGTGTGGCTTCAGTCCTTTTTGATCTGCAGTCTAAGTATCAAAATTGAATGTTTTCTTTTTTATATGCCATAGTAATGGAGTCCTAGAAAAGACCGATTAACCAATTTAAGGCAAGATATTGAAACTTTTATTCAACATTAATTTGAAAAGATAAAATACTTTATCAAAGACCATACATGCCTTAACATTTAGATACCAATTGATTCTTTTAAAGGCAGTAATAAAAACATCAGTGCAAGTTCTACATTGGGTTCCTCAGTAGAGAAAACAATAGGTTCTGGGAGTAAACCATTATTTTCAAATCCCAAAACACTCCAAGAGGAAAGAATTCTTCCGGTGCAGGACTTATGTATAGTGTAATTATTTTTACTTAATAAAGGTAGATATAAAACGTGATTATAAATACAAATTAGTGTCTTGGCTAGCTTGTTTAAACTTTTGTTTGATTTACTTGAATGTAAGCTTTAAAAAATGATTAAAAAACCAACTGATTTAAAAATCTATTGATAGTAGTAGTGCAAAGAGGTGCCCCAGTCCCTTTTTTGGTAAGGGCTGCAGATGAGCATTTCACAAAGAAATAACTTATATTAGAATATATATAAAGTATGTGTGTGGTGTTTTAATGACCAAAGAAGGCACAGAATGAGTTAAATTAAGAGAAAACATCACCACTTGTTCTGAACTCTGGTTAACTGTACAATATTAATCATAATATACACTTTTAGATAAGAATCCAGATTTCCTGTAATTGAAAAGTGACAACATTTTCTAGCTCTATTATTTATGCTAAGAGGCACTGCAGTAACAGACTGCAAATAGGCAGTATACATTGAGTCCAATTAACAATGACCTTTTACCAAAACAGTACTTTTACAGTGGCTAATGACAACTTGTGGAATGGAATTAGGTATCAAAAACTTAAGTGAAAATATCTACTACTTCTTTACATTTGCAAAGCTACTTACACATGCTATCTGGAAAAAGAAAATATAAACAGTGATGCTTTGATGTGCATTTAATTATTGTATTAAATAGACGACACATTTTAACATTTAAAAAAAGACATTCATATACCATACTCATGGGGTTTCCTACAAATGGACCATTAGTGTTAGGCACCAAAAATTTCAAGTTTTTTTTTTTTAGCCTGTCCCACTGATGCATCCTCGACTCATCTATTTCTGCTCTGCAGGTATCACCATGTACATTAAATATTTGCACAGTTCATAAACATTCTGTTCTGGACAACTGAATTGCAGACGGTCCTTTCTGTGTTGGTATTCTACATTGCATGTTTTGTCAGTTATCTTACAGCACCCAGATTGTTACAATCTATTGTCATTTAAAAAGTGACTTTCTGTTTTAGCCATGAGGATATTATATATACATATTTACCCAAACTAAACACAAAACTGTGTGTGAAGTTGAACAACTAATAAAAATGAATCTTATTCTTAATGGTTACTGTAAATGATTTCAATCATGTCCCTTATGATTCTAAGTCACATTATATTAAGGAAAATAATTTTTTAATGTACAATGTTTACAAATGTGAGTAAGACACTTACAAAACCAACTCTACCATAAAAGTCTACATTTTAATTCAGTATGGACCCTAGAATTTTTGTCCTGGGCCCATTGTGAAGAGTCTGCTCTACTCATTGGAGTTCTTCTACCAAACAGGAATGGGTACCTGGGTAAACAATTTTCACTTGTTTAATGAGGGAGTGGAGTAGATACATGGAAGCGAAACTACCAAACTCACACTCCTGGGAATAAATGTAGGACTACTAGTATAATGGAATGATGGAATTTAGTTTACAGCTACACTGATGAATCTCATTCAATTACCGGATAACACAAACATAAATTAAATGGCTGACTTTAACTAAGTCACATATCAGAAGTAGAGAAAGTGATCTTTCTGTGGGAAAAACACTAATAAGTGTAAATAACTTCTTGTCTTGAGTAAGCTGAAAGTGAGAGGAAACTACTTACTACTTAGCAAGTCAGGAAAAATAATCAGAATGAAGTGCCAGGCAAGCATGAAGTTAAGGCACCATTATTTACAACTTCAGTAACTTCACTTCATTCTGAAAAAGGCTTTAAAGACATGAAAAATAGAAAGCAATGTTATTTCCCCCTATGTCTATAAACTACTTAGTAGTTCTTAACATAACTATAATTTGTGCTTTGCTTTTCGGCCCTGTGAGTAGCAGCTGCATTTGACTGTAACATCTGCACCTTTCCTTTCCTTTGGTGTTTGCAAACATGCACAGTGGTAAAGGCTATAGAAGGTGCAAAACAGGAAAACAAACATACTGTGTCTATGTAAGAAACAATGAAAAAAAGACCAAACTAAAGCTATTACTCTGAATTACTCAAGAGGGGATTAAATTGTTCACTAAGTCTTTTGCAGACTTATTATATATTAAGTTTAGGGTTTACAGCATTCTACATAATGACTTTAAAACGGCAATGGCTTCAACAAACTCATAAAAGTTAGTTATGTGACTGTTGGTCCAACACGTGTGTTGAAATGCAGCAAGTACATTTACTTTATAATTTTTATCCAAATATAAAAATACTATATAAAGTTCTCAAGTGTGTGTGTGTGCGCGCGCGTACATACATGTTTGTAACTATTCTACTTCCAAAGCTCAGAAATTCACTAGCTTAGAAATAGGTTGCTGCAGTCAGCTGATACCACTTAACCGTCTCTTTGCTCAAGTTGAAATCTTTCAAAGGCAGGGTTATTCCACCCAAGAAAAAATTCTCCCGCAGAGATTCTGCACTGAGTACACTTAGTTGAAGTTCTCTCTGTCTTAGGGTTTCTTTGCTATATCCACTGTACACAAGCTACAGCAAAGGCAAAAAGAAAACAAAGTTACAAATTATTTCTTTGAATTCTTGAATTATTTTAAGTAAAAACATAAGTGAGATCATTAGTCAAAGTGACTATAATTAATGATACTGATTATGACACATCTGGTGGAATTTGTCTCACGCTTTAGATACACATTTTATATTTCAGGAGTCCTGAATTGTATTCTCAGTCCTCTGAGAGTCTGACATAGAAATGCACAAAGTAGAAAGTTATTATGGCTTAAAACTAAAAACATGGTTTTTCTGAGATGGAGTTTGAGGAAAGGCAGCATGCACTAAGATGATCTAATGAGAATAGAAGGAAGCAAGTTGAGATAGCATAATTATAAGTATTTCACAAAAAAACGAGGGATTAAAATTTTCTTTTGTTGTCGTTTTTCTGTTGGATTTTATATACCACGAAATGATAATTCCTAATTATCCATAATCCAATGCAAATTCATCAACTACAAATGTAATTCACAGAAAATCTGGAGTGTTGAAAAGCTACTCTCTTTCAAATGCTACATTTAACACTTAGAATTTTTTTTTTCCAAGAAAGCCTCACATAACTTCTGAGAAACATTTCCCTAGTCTAGGCCTCACTGACTGTAAGAACTAAAAAACGGACGACATTTCATTTTCTTTAAAGCACAACACTAATTAGAAAAAAAGCCAATACTGCCTTTTGAGAATGATATGAATTGGTCTTCACCAAACATTTTATATGCTTTTAATGGGCTGAAAGGATAGTCTAAGGTTTTAATAAATTCATAAACTTGATGAAAATTCAGAACTATTGCTTTCAAATCTCTATATAGGCATTTTTGTGTGGATGTAATGTTAATGTGCACAAATAAAATGGTGTTTATTCTAAAGAAGCAGTTAACTAAGAGTTGGTGGGTTTTAACAGATAAGGAATTTTACAAGTTGACCATGAGTAGCTGAGCAGTCACAGTTCTGCTCCATATTGTTTAGCTGATGCCTGCTACAGCTTAAAGCACTCTATTTCAAGAGGGTTGCTGAAACTAGTTAGAAGGAAGATGATTTTTGAAACTACATCCTACCAAGCAAAGGTAAAGGTACTGAAGATATTTTAAAAGAATAAACAGAAAGGGCATTTAAACTTCAATTATATGGAGGGCTGCCATGTAGGAGGAAAAGAATAGTTCTGTGTGGTTCCAAGAGGTACAACTGAAACCCACAGGTGCAAACTCTAGGGAGGGAAGATTTCAGCTCAGTATAAAAAATAATCTGGGAGTTGGAGCTGTCCAAAACAAACTGGATGGCCTGGAAGTACTTCAGCACAGATTGAACATCCCCCCTTTTTGAAAATGTTGTAGAAGGGGTTCGAGCTGGAAGGTAGCTGAATAATGGCCCCTAAGATCTTCTTAAAAACCTAAGGTCTATGATTGAGGGTTCAGTTCTGCATCACTTTGTGTGGGTTTTTTTTTTGTGTGTGTGTGTTTTTAAAATATATTTTTATTGATTTCAGAGAGGAAGAGGGAGGGAGAGAGAGATAGAAATATCAATGATGAGAGAGAATCATTGATCGCCTGCCTCCTGCACACCCCCTACTGGGGATCGAGTTGCAACCCAGGCATGTGCCCTTGACCAGAATCAAACAGGGACCCTTCAGTCCGCAGGCCGAGTCTCTATCCACTGAGCCAAATCCGCTAGGGCTGCATCACTTTGTTAAATACCATTGGACTGCTACTGATTTACTTTACTAGTACAACAACCAATACCTAAAAATTTTAAATTTAAAATCTCAAAACAACAAATCAAGGAAATTTTTAGAAATGATTTTAACTTACCATTTCATTGAATGTCGGGTTCCTAGTTTTTCGTGAAATTTTGGTTTTGCGTTTGGATGTTTTGTGGGGATCTGGAAGTAGGTATGTTTTGACATATGGATTTGGGTCAGCCCCATCTTCAGTAACCTACAAAGAAAAGCATTCCCTTAACAGTAATGCTTCCTACCAAGGAATGGGTTTCCTCTACAACCACCAGTATTTGTAATCACTCACAAGATCTTTGATGTGCATCACCATGATGAAAAGAGTACTATTTCGGTAAGAGACAGATAATTTCACTGATCCTCCTATTTGGCCTGGAGTAGGACTGAAGGGCCCCGCATCTGAAAATATAAACATGTTAATCTTAATTTTATCTTGCTGCAGTGGTTCAAGCCACAACAAAAAACTTTTGCTTTAACTCCAGGACCATGTGAATGTGCAGTAACAAAGGGTAAAGACACTGGTAGGCCACAGGATATATATTTTTTAGTAATTACATTCTATTAGGAAAATTATGTTTATCTAGAAATAGACTAGCTTAGAAAGAATACCTCCTCTCATCACACTGGACCACAGCTTGCAACCCCACCGTGATTCCACCATATCCACTGATTAGTTACAGACTTGAGGGCCATAGGGAAGCCATGATCCATCAATAAAGAGAAAAAAATATTCTCACCTGCAGACTTAGCTATTCCTTCAGCTTTCTCATCACGAAGAAGAGGGTGAAAAAAGGTACAAACAAGATCACACTAAGAAAGAAGAGGAAAAAGATCCATTAGTTTAAATATTACGTAGCACAAATATAGTATGTTATTTTTCAATTAGGACCATCACCTCTGCTACATCCGTTGAAGCACTCATCAAACTCTGTAAATAACTGTTTAACTCAATTTTTCTTTTGGCTGCTACATCTTTTATGTGGGTTCTTCCTAGAACCATCCTATTAGGAAAGCTACAAAAGAAAAACAGTAACAAGTGGGATTTAAATTATTTCATCTGAAAGTATTTATAGAATCAAGTCTAATATTTACTTAGAAATACACTTTTTTATATACTTAAATACAAACTGGATTCTTAATCCACTATAAAGTAAATTTTGCAATTTCTCTTCAAAGTACTGGAGATGAAATAGTTCAAGTATCCATTATCCTTTTATGAACCCTGGTACAAAAGGTGTGTTGTTTTTCTAATTTGCTATATTTTAAACTTATTTTCTACTTATTTCTTCTCAGGATTAATCATTCAGAGATATTTTATGCAGATCTTAACCTCCAAAATAATCATTAACCAGCCATAGCAATTGTAGAGACCAGTAAAATTCACAAATGGCAAAGGCCCCAAATCAAGATAATCTTAACTGTGCTTATTTTGGTGGCAGTGGAAAAATGTCTGAATCTAGTATTGCACCTGGAAATAAACTCAGCTAAATTAAAACTGAGGGTCTCCAAAAGGTATCGGATACAAAACTAAACACTAAGATTCTGACTAACAATCTCAATGCCTCAGCTCTTTTTCATCCACATGAGCCCAGTATGATCATAATAGATTATTTCTGCAGTTATTTAAAATCTGTTTTTTTAAAACCAAGATTCCAAATTATTATCTTGTGTTGCGTACTATGGTAGAGACAGCAATTTTAAAGCTTCCGCTATAATTAGAGAAAGCTGGAAAATCCCCAAATTTAAGTTTAAGATTTTTTTTTAAATATGTTTTTATTGATTTTTTTTTTAGAGAGAGGAAGGAAGAGGGAGAGAGAGAAACGTCAATTGGCTGCCTCCTGCAGGGGATCCCACAACCTGAGCATGTGCCCTGACCAGATATCGAACTGGCAACCTTTTGGTGCACAGGACAATGCCCAACCAATTGAGCCACACTGGCCAGGGC